TGACATTTAACGGAGTTAGAAGTTAGCAGGGAGTTAGCTCGCTAGCTTCTATCTAAATACAATATAGCATGTCCTGACTGCGGGGTTTTGGAAACAAATTAAAACGTACAGCTCTGTTATCACTTCCAGCATAAATGAAGACAGAAAACTAAACAGCAGTGACGTTTGTAGGGTTACTGAAGTTGGCTAGCTGGTATATAATGATGTGCTACGTGACCGCTAGCGACACAGCTATGTTAGCATAATATAAACAAGCTAACTTTTTTTCCACTCGATAAAAGTTAACGTGAGTGTTCTCGGTGGTCAGGAACAAATGTAATCGCATGGCAGGATGCTGTAAAAGGACCAAACTTCAGCCAGGAGAACAACTGAGATAATCCATCCACAATACGAGGTTAGTCATTCATATACTGCTGCATGGGCTGGGCTGTAGTTACATCCTAAGGTTTTAAAAACTGAGCTTAAATAAATGATTAGCGGTAATAAAAGCCGAGGGAGGTCAACAGTGATCACTGACTGTTTTAGGAGCTTTTTGAGATTAAATAGAAGAAAATACAAAACATTAAACATGTTAACAACACAAAAGCCATATTAAACGCAGACTACTTTAGGCCCGGAAGTAGGATTCGTCACGTCATCACTTAACGACCGGATTGGGTGTGATACAGCAGTGTTGCCAACTCCTCAGTAAGGAAAATCGCTATTGGTTGTCCTAAAAGTCGCTAGAAGTCGCTAAATGACGTCATCGCCTAATTTGCATAATTGGTCATGCTAATCTAATTGTAACCTATGTTGTTGGAGAGAGAAATAACATCGTGGAAGAGACATAAAGTGAGTAAAAAACGTCCTAAATGCATTTAGAGTTTATTTAGAACTACAAATTAAATTTCTTTTAGCAATTATTGTTTTTTTTAATGTCACAATTCCAACCCTGCTCCTTTACCCGGGCTTGGACCGGCAAAAGTGACCCGAAATAGGCACTCTGGTGGAGTTACTTTGTGTGTGTGTGTTTATAAGTAGTTTTAAACCTTGTGATCCACAAAACAGCATAAGAGTAAAAGAGTAAAAGAAGAACTGACTGCGTTACAGCACCCGCTGCTTGTTGAGAGTAAAAGCGATACGCGCTTTCACGTCTTTTTTTAGCGACTTTTTTTAGAAAAAAAGTCGCTAAGGGGTCTGAAAACTCGCTAAATATAGCGACAAAGTCGCTAAGTTGGCAACACTGGATACATGTCTACATGCTATGTTGTCCTGCTAGTTGAGCCTGCTGTCTGTTCTCAGCCCTCCTCCTGTTTCACTGGCATATATCCATCACCAGAGGGCTCCACCGACCTGCCTGTTGACATCAGAGCAAACCCCTGTGTCATGTGACCTGGCTGGAGCTGCAAAGCTGGACTCAGTCGTGGCCCAGGCAAGTTCAGAGGCAGTTGTGGAAAAGAGAGCAGGGAGCATGGTAAAGCACTGGAAGGATGAGGTGGAAACAGGAAGCGTGTAGATTCAGTGGACTTATCAGCATCCTCCATGCCCTCATCCTGACTCAGCTGCTCCTCTCCCCCACTGCTAACACCTGAATCCAAGCTGGGAAGCTCCGGGCTGTCAGCCTGCTGTTTCTCCACTCGCTCATAATCAGAACAAACCTGGATAGACTTGCCAAACACACCTCCGCTGCTTCCAAACAGCCTCTGAAAATCTGCCTTTTGTTCATTCCCTCCCTCCTTCTCTTCCTCAGCCTCAGGTTCTTCATCATGGCTATCAGTCATATTGATGCTATCTGCCTCCATGCTCTCTTCACTGACCTCTGCACAACTGCACATGCCTGAATCTAGACTCTGGAGCCTAAATCGATCATTGTCGAGCCTCTCTCTCAGCCCATTCAAGGCCTTGCACTGGTGCCCCATATGGACTGCATATTTTATGTTCCAATGAAAAACTACCAAATGGAAACTAAACACTTTCATCAACTCAAGGAAACAGTCCAGATGTGGACATTGATGCTTTTGAATCTGAGAATTAATGTAGTTGTAATATTGGTAGTATGTGTTATTGTTGTCTGCCGTTTATCTTCTTCTTTGGAGGGCTAACGAGTGTTTGTTGTAGACAGACCACTCCTAGATCAGTCCTATTGACTTTGAATGGAGAGCCAGCCCTCTCTCTCACCTCTCCCTTAGTGGCTGAGTGGCAGTTACCACTCCTTCACTTTTCCCTTGTATGTTGAAGGTTGTGAGTTATATTACAGCATTGGACATTTTTCACAATGGCTTCTTCCCCTCTATGCTGTGTATTACACACCAACACGCTTCAAACTTTAAACATTTTCCCATATACATAATTATTCCATACTGCAGTAATCATGCTCAGGATGAATGAATTGGAAAGATTTTGACATTGGTATGTTATGTTAAACAAAACATTTTGAGATAAATGTACCTGATGGTGGTTTTATTTTCCCTACTGGTGACTCCCATGATGCAGTGGGGCTCCAGTCACTCCAGGCTCCCTCGCGGTGCTGAAAAATAGACCGCACACGAACTCGTGCCTCGTACCTCTCGCCTTGTATCAGCAAATCTGGCTCCAGCTCTGCCTTGCACTCCTGCTCACACTGAATGCCAACTTTTTTGTGCACAGCAGGATCCTGACACACAGAAACCAGTGCGGGGTTGAGAACAAATCTTGTTTCACATGTGAACTTTCATGATCTCAACTTTATACTTAAACGTGTTCACATTGTGTCATAAAATCTAAACTTACACTCCATGACTGATCCTGCTTCTTCCACTCGACTTCACTTCTGTATGAACTGATCCTATCATGTTCGGGGACTTGGGACAACCAGGAAACAGACGTGAAGTTGACTTTTGGCTCTGCAGGAGGATTCACCTTTACTGCAAGATCACACACACAGTTGTTTTAATTCACCACGAATAGCTCGCACTGTAAATCACAAAGAGCCAGTATGTATACTGTAGATTACACTCACTGTGACAGGATGGCATGAAGGAAGTGATTACACTCTTCATTTGGTTGCAGCTCAGATTAAGGGACAACTTATGGAAAGACAGAAACTGGAAAAAAAAAATGTTTGAAAAATATTTAATGTTAGAAAACATTTATTACAGAACTTCAAAGGGGGCTTAATAAAAGCTTGATTTTGTTAAATGACAGATAACTAACTACTTGGAAGAATGCAATGACTGCCCCTAAGCTTTCTTTAGAATATTAGCTCTTCTTTCTAATTAAACTACAAACTGAGATATAGGATATATGATTGTATATCTTGGGCTTGAAAACAATAGATTTTTTCACACACTCACAGTGTATGTGTCGTTAAAGATCAGGGAGCACTTCTTTAGGGCTGGTCTGGAGATGTCTACAGACTTTAGGTCACAGGAAGCGCTGTAAGAACTGAGAAAAAACAGTATTATTCTCTTTGTGGTGCACATGATGACAGGTGTGATTTATATATTGTGAGTATTATGTGTTGAGCTTTTCTCTTTGTGATTGAGCTCCTTACAGGCGTCGAGATTTAAACTGAGCATGTATGGTGCATGCAGCCTCATCAGTGCTGTTCCACAAACATGTGATGTTTCTATTGTAGTCAGTGTAGCAAGTGAGATCTGTGAGAATTAAAACAGGAGAGATGGGATGAGAATGAGTAAATATGTCAAACAACAGATCTTAAAATCAGTTAAACATGAATAAAGAGGAATAAAGACTAACTCTCTGGAAGCCTGGGACACTCATCACTTCTGCAGAGCAGCAGCACAGGCAGCAGAATAAACAGGGAAAGGCTTTTCTTATTTCTCTCCATTAAGTCGACAGTTTTCTTTCTTAGAGGCTGCTGGGATGGTGACTGTGACTGTGACTGGAAGACTTGAAGGACTAGTTGCTTTAGGTATTGACTGACTGCTTTCTGATTCTTCTCATCCTGCAAAGGTAACCACATGAAATAAAATGTTACCATGTTAGCAACATGATTAGAGACGACACAGTTTTATTTCTCCAAACAGTCAATACATATACAACACAAAGTGCTGTTCAGCAACTGTTATTGTGGTTTGGAGACATCTACATAAAATGAAATTGAATTGAAATCATAATTTACATGAAGCGCTTCAAAAATTAATGTTTCCATTGGTGTTGCATTTGTGGTCTTTTCTTTCAGACATGCGTCTCTACCACAGCCTCACAAACTGTTGGCTGCTCGGTTTGTGTTCACTTGGGTTGATCTGCTCCACCATGTCAAATCAAATAAAACTGATACATAAATAACAACAACCTGATCTCCTGGATGTTTTCTTACACAAAAGAAATTGGCACTGAATCTTAAACTGAACAACATTTAGTAAAACATTTTTAATATTGTAATTGTAATAATACAATTGTCTTATAAAAATAATAATAGCTGTACATTAAAGCACACACGCTGTACATTAAAAGACTTCAGTCAGTGACACTTACCTGCTGGCTGAGCTGCAACTGATCTGCTTCCAACTGCTGACTTAATTTCACCTGATATCCTGTCAAAGAGCATCACATGAGGGTGTTACTTTGTTTACGTATCAAATGTAACCAACTAAACTGACAAGACAAAAACGGCAGGTGAATTCTGTGAGGTCACTGCCAGAACTACAGCCACAAATCTAGATCATCTCTCGATCACAACCCACAGAGCTCTTCTGACGAACATTTCAGCTTCTGAGTGTTTCACTTGAAGCCTTGTAACCCTTTAGTTTCATCTAATCTGATTCTTCAACTTATAAACGATTGCATATAACAGTACCTGCAGTGCACCTGTCTGTATAACTCTGAGCTGATAACTTCAAGCATGCAGCATCAGGTGGAAACTGGCTGTTCTGGGTTGTTGCTTCAGTTTTTCATCTTCCTTGACTATAGTACAGCCTGTCAGTTCCCCCACCCTGTTGTATTTTGACCCCAACACACACACACACACACACACACACACACACACACACACACACACACACACACACACACACACACACACTGCACTATTTATAAGTATTAGCAGTAGCTCCCTTTGCATGTGGACCACACTGACATTTAAACTGTGTGTTTGTGTGGATTTGTACTTTTTGTGGTTTTGCAGCCAAGAGCAAGCTGCCCCACAAACACTCACATCCTCACCTAATGTCTTCACATTATGCATTAATTGACTTTAAGCATTTTATCTTTGCAAGAACACATTTCAAACAAACTTTTCTTTTCATAGTGCTCAATACAAACATATTAAGTTTAAACAGCATAGTACTGAAGTTGGTTTAGATTCTCATTCACATAATAAATATCACGTCACATTAGATACTCCAGCTTTGCCCCAAACATAGAGCCAGACTCATAAAGAAGATCTTCAGATCACATCTTCTATAGAACAAAAACTGTGGATCTTTCTGAGAACTCAAATGTTCCATTAATCTGACAGGTTCACTTTCTGCTCAAAGCTTTTCAAGTTGATATAAAAGGTGTGAAAGAGGAAATTATGCTGACTGATCCTCTTAAAATGAGCTTTCAAAGCTTTCAGTTGTGTGCTGCAACTCACAAAAATGTTTCAAAGCAGTTTATGGTTTCTGTAACAGGTGCACTTCCTTCCTGATCTACTGTTATAAATATCAAAGTTTCATGCAAACTGGGAGGCTCTGTAGTGAGCACTCATGGGTGCTCAAGGTGACAACGTGGCATTCAGTACTTTAACAAGATAAAAGCTCTGAAACTGTACAGAATAAGAAAAAAACAAGAGATAAAAAATAGAAGAGACCCAATGCTGCTTATATTTGCTTTATTATCTGGTCGATGCACATGCAATTGTTCTGACCACATAAACCTACCTGACAGCATTAATGCACTGTTGCTCCACAGTGTTGGTATAGAAGCTGAACTTTTATTCTGGCAAATCTACCCAATGGTTGAAACATGTCACATAGTGTTGATGTGAAGCAGCTCTTTGTTTATTCCTGTACTGAAATCCTCTGCATTTAAACCTTTCAGACAGATTCCAGTTGTTTCATAGAACTTAAACACAAAAAGTTCATCATGGGGTTTCACGAGGTTCTGTGCTGACACTCATCTTTATTCATGCTTAACTTCAACAATATCACTAAAGTACTGCATGCATTTTCATTGCTGTGATGTCAGAGCCCAGCTATATTTATCTATGAGGCCAGACAAAATGTTCATTTAGTCCAATTTAAGCATGTCTTAAAGTCATAATTGTCTAAATAATTCAGACAATACTGAGCTAAATATAATATAAATAATATAAATCTAGATTTATATAGCTCTAAATTTAGTATAACCTCTGCCTCAAGTACTCTCATTGTGATTACCCCCGGACAATCGTATTTATTTTTAATTCCAACATATCCTCAGATCAAGTCTTTGGCACTGCCTTCTTTCAGCTAGATCTTCCATGATGCACTTCACCTTCCTTCCGCTCTCCTTTCTTTCTCCTCCCATGCATTTCTGTGATCCCATCTGTGATCATTGTGTGGCTTCGCTTTCCTGTAGTATGGCTTCTTCCTCACTCTGTACCTGTTTGTAAGTGTCTCCAGCTCCAGAAACATGTTTCTGATTACTGTCACACCAACCTTCCCACTGTTTGTGGTTTCTCACTGCGTGTCTTTTCATTCTTTAGTCTACATCAGATGATTGATGCAGATGAGTTGGCCAGGTAAGTGTGTGACCTGTAAAGTGCCTGCAGATTACTAATAACATGGTGCATTAAATATAAATGCAAGAAAACGACAGCTGAAGCAAATTTCATTAGCCCAGCAGCGTCATGATGATTGACCATGACATTAAAAAAAAAGTATCTTTGTGTTCTAACTCGTTCTTATCATTTTCACAGAGCTGTGAAGCGTATGTTCTCTTTATTTATATCGTCTTCTGACTTTTGGACTTCCCCTAACGCATTACAAGAAAAAAGTGAGAAAGATGACCCTCTTATCGCTTTCTTTTTGCCTCACTGAGTCAGAAGCACGATAACCACAAATACACACTAAAGGCTCAAACCACATCCTAACCCTCGTCTCTTCACAGAAAACAATTTTCTTTCCACTGATAAAAAAAACAAACACAAAACGTCATTCACTACCCAGAAAGTCTGCTTTCTCTTCCTTCCTTCCTTATTAGGTGTTTTTTCTTTACATGAGTGGTTGAAAGGCATCTGAGGCCACAGCTTCAAACAGGTGGTAAAGGATCTAGAGAGAGTTAGTGAATCAGTAAGTGCAGATGATTAGTAAGGAGGAAATGGCTGATCACATTGTTAAACACAATCCTGGACAATGAGAGGATGTCTGAGGTAATTTTCAAGTATGACAGTGTTGTCTAAAGCTTAACAACTACAGAATGATAAAGCCGAGGATCCATACCATGAAGTTATAGGAAAGAGCTTATCAGCGAGGAGCAGTGAGTCTCCTGCTGAAAAACAGCTCTACTGGTGTCAGATAGAGGACTGCAAGTCAGTAGAAGCAAAACAGAATAAATGCATGTGAATGAGAGAGAGACATGTGCAAGGAGTGGAGATAGTGAAGGTGGATGAGTTTAAATAATTGGGATCAGGCAGGGTGGAGACAAGTGTCAGAAGGGATTTGTGACAAACATATAGCTAGAGTGAAAGGCAAGGTTTACAAGTTGGTAGTTGGTATGTATGGTTTATGTGTGTATGTGTGTTTGGAGATGGTAGCACTAACAAGTAGCAGAATTGAAGATCTTAAGGTTTCAATGTGAGTGACCAGAAGAATGACACTAGACATGAGAACATCAGAGGGACAGCTCAGCTTAAGCAGTTTGGAGACAACGTTAGTGAGGTTAGGCTGAGATGGTTTGCATACGTGCAGAGGAGGGATATTTGAGAGTGGATGTTGAAGATGGAGCTGCAAGGCAGAAAAACAAGAAGACAGGAAGAAAAGAGTCCTAACATCCAGACAGTCTGGGTGCTCGGGGCAGGGTGAAATGGAGGCCAATGATCCACTGTAATGATTTCTAAACCAAGCAGCTGAAAGAAGGAGAAGACGACTCTAGGAGAAACCAAGATGGACTTGTACCAGAAGGATGACGAGACAAACATATGCAGAAGGGAAGATACAGCTCATGAGGTCAGGGCCACTGTGAAGATGCCACTGCTGATAGATATAGCAAGGACAAATTCTGAAGTGTACAGGTTTATACTCTCAGCTCAGAATCAGCCAAATGCTGCAGAATTGGCTGGCCAGCACTTCATAATGCAAATAGATAATGGATGCAAAAGCATAACAACCCAAGAGTTTCTCAAATAAAGAAAGGATATTCTCCAAGGACTGCATACAGCATGCTTTTAAGTTACTGAAGATAAAACTGAAGACAAAGAGACCCACAAACAGTAAAGGCCTAGCAGAGCATCTCAGTGGAGGACACACAGCATTGGGTGATGTATAGAAATGTCTCTAATATCAGATAATAAACAGATACAAAACTTTTGCTTTGAATTTTGAAATAAAGCTGAAAGTCTGCACTCCAAGCACATATTGATTGTCTGATTTAAAATCCTCTATGGTGATGTGCAGAGGTGAAATTACAATCAATACTTTTCAATTCAATACAATTCATTATTATCAAGTTGTCTTTACAACTTCCTAAAACACCAACAGTGAAGGAGAGAGCATATTTTTCCCATATTGGTCCTTTTATTGCCTCCCTGTTAAATCTAGAATATAATTTAAAATTATTCTCCTCACATACAAAGTCATTAATAATCAGGCCCCAGCTTATCTTTAAGACCTCTGTTTCATCCCAATAGAGCAGTTTGCTCTTAGACTGCCTGCCTATTAAACTAAAATATGATAAAATAAAAATAAGTGACATTAACTCATTCACTGCCAGCCATTGGCAGTGAATGAGTTAAACCCATTGAATCATTCACTGCAATTGACGGCTATAGACGTCAATGGCAGTGAATGAGTTAAGAACCTACCAGTCCAGGTGTGTTCAGTGTTCTGTCATTTCCATGTCTGTAAGATAATTCAGGCTTTACCTTTGCCCTATATAACACTTCTTTATATCTATCATCTAGTGTGACTTATGAAAGAGAGTTCAAAGAAAAGAAGAAGCTACGCACATTGGGTTTTTTTTTTTTACTGATGGCAGTAACTTAGTGATATGGTTGGTCACATGTTTT